GTGTGTGTGAAAGAAAGGAGGGGTTGGGGGGGGGGGGGGGGGGGGGGGGGGGATTATCACTGGTGAGAGTGAGAGTATTTTTTAGTGTATATTACAAGTTATGACTTGAATTATTTGTTAGCAAGTTAGTGAGGTACAATCCACTGATTGTGAGATTCATTATTATGCATAACTCATTATTTAAGACTTGTTTGCTTGGGTAGTTTAGGAGCCAACAGCATTTCGTCCCCTTGAGGGCCGGGCCCCTTCATTGCCATACTGGCCCCAACCATAGCAGGATAGCTTCGATTCCTCCTCATACCTTCGTTTAGTGAATTAAAGGGGGACCCTGCCCTCCGAAGCCCACCCAGAGGACCTATAAGTGGGCTTGGCCTTGGAATCCCTCCCCCCGTTGCCCCAGAAGCCCCAGGGCTTGCCAACCCCAACCTTTTCAGCTTATCAACCAAGTTGAGACTATACATACTGACATCAGTTTGGCTCTCACAGTCTTTAGCCTGAGCCCCAGACACCCCTGCCACCTCTTTCAAAATAGACCTTGCTGGCTTGGATGCCAAGAAGTTTTCATAGGATGGGCTCTTGAAAGAGAAAGGCGTGGAGGTGTCCGCATCAGAAACCGCTGAACCTGGGCTGGGAGTGCAACGGGTGGGGGAATTTGGTGGAGTGGTGGGTCTGTTCGGGTCGGGAAGTGGAGGAGGAAGAACTGAGGTGGAGAAGAGGACTCCTCCGCTTCCTCTGTCCCAGCTCTGAGGCTGGTACACGGCAGCAGAGATGCCCCTCTCCTGCAGGAGCCGAACCAGGCCCAAAGATGTGCTGAAGGTTTTGGTGGAGTCCCGCAGGTTTGTGAATGACTGAGACTGGGACAGACTCATTCGCCGAGGAGTACACGGCGTGGCGGCAGGTGTCGAGCGCAGACTGCTTGACATCACGCAGGACGAGGTGAGGACGGGGTTTAAACTGGACAGAAAAGCAGAAAATTATGTGGTGATTGGTTAGTCAGTTATTGTCTCAGTTACAGGACAGTACATTACCTGGGTGTCACCCTTGTGAGCTCATCAGACGGATGGAGGATTTTGCAGGTGGTGAAGGTGTAGGTTGAACTTGTGTGAGCCATGCATTTGCCCGGGAAATACACTGGAAAAGATACAAAAGCTGAGAGTCAAACAAACAGAGTTTTCATTTATTTTTATCTAAATGAATAATTTATGAATGGTGTGTTAAATATATA